AGTTCAGTCAGCTCGGGCCGCAGCAGAGGGGTTGATCTGCTCACGAGTTGGAAAGGAGGGATTATAGGAGGTGATCTTAGGAGGTGATCGGCAAAAGAGCGTCCTCTCAGCCGATTCGTCCAAGGAAGGGGAGAACGAAACTCCGCGGTCAGCTTCAAAGGCTTTCTGTCTCCCAGTCAGCGCGGCTGCTATGCACGATGGAACACTGCGATCCGTGACTTTTGACGCAGGAAAACGAAAGCTACTTCCAGTCAGCTTTCTTCTGGTATTTCACGTGAAAGGGGGCCTCTCCTGACGGGCTGCAAACCCATGGAAAAAGAGGAAGATTATTTTCGCGCTGCGCTTTTTAACCCATGAATGACGTGCGGGCACTTCCTGTCTGCGCATCGGCTGATTGGTCCGTGCTGTGAGTAACGTGGGGGTAGTTCCATTGTGGACAAGAACAAAGGGGGTAGTTCAGGTGGCAACGGAGATGGTTCAGCCCACTGATTTAGTTCCATGTTGGTAATATATCTCAACATTGTTCTGTCCCTATTCATGCCAGACCTGCAAACACTTTTGTCTATTTCCATTGGGAAGGTTGAGTTCCCATCCAGCTGGAGTTCAGTAGGCAGGTCACAGCAAGGCAGTCTCTCTCTTTGTCCCAGTGGCTCACAGCAGAGGTCCTCTTTGTCTCAGTGGCTGATCAAGGCATGCTTCTCATCCAGTCTGGCTCTATAAGTTCTGAAACTCAAGAGAAATGTGTTGCAAAAGGTCTTTTTTGCAGCAGTTTGGTTCTCAAAGGTCCATGATGACTTATCTTTGAGGACTCTTGGCCCCAGAAGGCCTGGATGTCCATCCTGCCGGAGACGGACACCCGCTTCATGGGCAAGGGAGAGGAGGCAAAAAGAGAAAATAATCTGGTTTTCTCTGTGATTTTGTCAGTCCTCACACAGAGGGGAGTGGTTGGTCACACTTCTGTGAGAGTTCCTGTGACTGGCCTTTGAAGGCCTTGGCTGAAAAAAGGGGGGCCGCAGAAATCCCCCAGCAGTTATTCACCAAAGCTGCGTGTTCTCCTTTGGTCATCATATCAAGATGAACTATGGACACTGGTTCACAATGTCCAAAAACCATGATCATGGCATATGGTACAACATGTGTATTTATTCATTTTAATATTTTTTTTCATTTTTTGTCCTTTTTCATTCCTCATAGAAAAGTAGATTGCAGGATTTTTAAATAATAGTTTGTTTTTGTTTTTTTTTTAGAAATCTTTAATCAACAATAACGGAAAGGAAACCTTGAACAGGGGGAGTTTAAACACAGAGAGCAAAACTACATTCTGATTTCCAGGAATTTTAAAAGTACAGCAGAAGCCAATACAAAGATTCACATATGTGAATGGTTCTGAAAGCACATTTGCTTAATAAATAACACTTTACAGTAGCTTAAAAATTGCAGGTTTAGTTAGAAAAAATATTTGCCATCCATTTGAGTATACCAAATAAACAAAAGTTATGTCTGCTAAGAAACAACATTTCTTTCACCTTATTTAGAAAACATGTTTGTGAGGGATTGTCCACCTTTTCCTGTTGAAAACAATGGAGACATTGATTCTAGATTGAATACAAATTAGAGGGACCTCTGTTTAGCCTTTGTTGGGGGTTGAGAGCGTTCAGAGCCAGGATCTTGGGTGGATATGGGTGTCATCCATACAGTATAACACTGGAAACGAATGTTGTATTTACAAAAAGCAGTGGACAGAAAGGGGGGTAGGTAATTAACAGAAAAACTCCAAATATAGAACCTTAAAATACACCAGAGCAGAGGAGGGGTGGATCAGGCACTCCATGATGGTAGTTTTTCACAGATCCATTGGTGCGATTTTGAACAGGAAATGTCGTTCCACTCTTTCTTTATATTTTGTACACAGTCTTCATCACCATTCCAATTATCAGGTTGACCGTCTATCCAGAACCTGGAGTATTTGAATAAAAGTCAGTCATTCCACAGTTTATCCAACATCAAACAGATAATTACATAACAACCAGTCATAACCCAAACCTAAATAGGATTTTCTATTTGCCCCTAATTGTCAGTTCATAATAGAACTTTATAAAACATTGTTTCACCAGAGTCTTTGAAAAAGAAGCTGATTAGTCAGTCACGTATTTGGATGGCCTTAAACTGATTTATAATAAAGTAAAAAATCTTGGTACTATTCTTGGTCAGGACCTGTCATTTAAATCCCATATCAAAGAGGTTTCTAGAATTTCCTTCTTTCATCTGAGGAATATTGCAAAAATTAGAAATCTCCTGTCCAGGGGTGATA